GAATTTCAATTCAAAAGATAAAATTATCTTACGTTTGAGGTTGCCTTAAACAGAAAATTCTTTTGCATAGTTTAATTATACTATTCGATACTCTATAAAATCAGTATAACTAAAGCTTACTGCATCGTTTTTACTATTTATTAATTTTTTGGAACGAAAAGCGAACCTGGTTGGATTGGATTAAAATTTTAAAATTTGTGATGCCCTTATTCAGCCTTTAGGAATTCTTAAACAATGCATCAAATTATCATTTGATTTATTGAAGTGCTTTTATACTCGCTCTGCTCTGCGTAAATGTTAATTTAAAAATTCCATATTCATTCGCAAATTTGCGCTTTGACAGATCTTGTTTAATAAATTTAAAAATTGACAGACAATCAGGCAAAATGACAAACGCTGGCGACGTCAATTTGCGCGCCTTGGCCCACACAGAAACCAAACAGACCGTGTAGACCCATCCAATCCCATCCCATAACCATATCCATACCCAATTTCTGCCCAATGCGAGCAGGGAACAAACGAGCAGCAGAGCAGACAGCGAAAAGAAATCATTGTCAATAAATTTTGCAAGTATGAAATTTACACGAACGAACTTTATAAATGGTCTGGTTGTCTTTGTCACGCTGTCTTTAGCATTTCTTTTTAATTGTACAATAATATTTAATTGCAAAGCCGCACAAGTAAATTATTAATGGATTTCTGGTGGTCGCCTGCTTGTTCCCTGGCAATACCAATAACACCCACCCAAATGTCCGACAGATTATCTCAAAACTGGCTGCAGTGTCCAAAAATTGACACTGAACGATGTGCAGAAGAATTGTGTTCGGAGTGTTAAAAGCTTGATAAACATTGCAAGAACTGACTCAGTAATAAAAACAATTATTAAAGAATATTTAACCCTGCCCTTTAGCTCGTTTTGAGTTTAAATGTAAAGTACATAATATAATCGCCTAAGTTTATTCGCATTTAGACTTAGTCAACTTCAATTTTCTTTAATGATATCAAAACATTATATTTATTCGAGTAGAAGTTAGCTGTTGATTTTTTATTCTATTTAATCGAGTAGAATTTTGCTGTTGTAGTTGTTGTTAGTTTTGACCGTATCTTAAAAATATCAGTGAAAACATTTTATAAGAAATATTCTTTTTTGTTTGATGAATGAGAACTTAAATAAAACTGAGAAGTCTATCAAATATTCCTGCCATTTCATTTTATTTCACAATTTCACAATTTTGTGCCCAAATATCGGTCTCTCTGTATATGTACATGTATATATTTATATGATATATGTATTCTTGTTCTCATATTACTATGCATTAATGAATAACGAAAATTTGTGAGAACCTAATAGGCAACACTTGTTAAAAAATTTATTTCCTTATGAACGATGGCAGTTTTCTGAATATTTACGGTAGCTAATTAACAATTTTTGAAGAAACTATCACATGATAATTTCGGGAAATTTATCACACACAAGGACGTTAGTCATAGTCTGCTCAAAGAACTAAAAATCTAACTTTAGATTCAGTAATTGTGTTTTCCATTCCGAACAATTCCAACAAAAATATAATTAATTTAACCAGATTGTGGCAAGATTCATCTCTTTTTTATATATTTTTTGAAAGATTCTAAACACCCTGACTGTTAGCATTAAAACCTAGTCCTTTGATTGATTTGATTTTGGTAAGCCGGAAATTCGTTTGACCTTATGTAATTCAATTGCCAGGTATTTTCCTGCACATTTTACACGAATTCGTGCCAGAAACGGTAAGTCAATACAAATAGGCAAATTGAATTCAATATGGCCTAAATCCCAAGTTTTGTGGCGAAAATACAATAAACGACTGCTGCCGCTTAAGGAAATTGCTTTCGCTGAAAAATGTAAATATAAGCCAACAGATGTGTATGTATGTATTGGCACAATATATGTATAAAAATCGGGCAAGCTTTCATGAATACAATTCCAAGAATAAATACAAAGTATAGCGAAATATTAAAATGCTGACTAAGGCATAAACGACTTTATTCGTGTGACCAACGAAAGCAAAAGTAAAGTCAAGTGAAGGAAACGCACAAGAGCATTGCAAAAACTCAGGATTGATAAAAAAAAAGATATTTAAAATGCATTTGCGGCCGACAGACACATGTTTATGCAAACACATTTTGTTGCCAGAGTTGCATAAATTAGCAAACAGCGACACTGATTTCGAGGAATTTAAACATTTCGTGTTACTTATTTTAGGCGTAAAGTCGTTAAATGGCCAATGCCAAAAGCGAGACACATGACGTATGCGTAATATGAAAACACCTCACACAGCTTCCCTTGACATTTTTCAGCGTGTTGGAAAAGCTTTACATAAATACGTACAAATACACATAGTTGCTAAGGTTTATATATATACATTAAACGGATTTATGATGCTAAATTGCACAACACTGAAATATTTTTTTATGGCTGCATTTTGTTTACAAATTGGCGACATTAAAAACTATTAAGAAAATTCAAAGTTGAGTACAAAATTAAAAAAAAATAAATGCGTCGCGGCGAAGCAAGGCAAAGCGGGCAAACGAGGAGAAGAATGAAATAAAAACAAATTAAAAATAAACGCAAATATGTTCGAGCACAAATAAATAGAAAGAAATGCAGCTATGTGTGCGTGAGTGTGGAAAACTGTGTCGCTGTGTCAACGATGCTGCAACTGCGAGTTCGACGTCTGCCACACTTTTCAGAGCAAAGCGAATTTGAAAAACGCCATCAAAACGCGTGCGTTTCTTGCTTGCTTAGGTATTTATTTTATTTTAAAATTCTTAATGTCTTTAAGTAAAAAATAATCATAATTATACCTGACTTTTCAGCTGACTGCAAAAAATGCGTTTTTTACTAAATAATTTATTTTGTAACTTGTTAATTGTTAAGCATCCAAGCTGTTTAGTTATCACTTTTAAACCACTATGGGGTCTTCTTAATTTGTTCACTGTTCACATTCGGATTTTAAATTGTTGAATTTTCATTTAATAATTTTTCTCACAATAATTTTCGCCGCGCCGTTGCCGTTTCCGTCGTCGTCTTCGTGCGTTCTACTTCGTTGCGCCTGCTATTCTGCACTGAATGGTGAACTCAACCGTTTCAAGTGCTTTCATAGCCGAAGCAAGCCAGCCACTCGGTTCGTGGCGGGAGAGAGCAGCGATCGTTACAGTTAAAGAGCGAGCGTGCTGCTCATCGAGTTTGAGCTTTTTCGCCTGCTTGAGTCGTTTGTGCACCCGCACAATGCACCTCTCAAGGGGCTACTACTGCCACTGCCACTGCCGGATTTGAGAGGTTTTCTCCTTGGTCGTCGCCGGCCGATCAAAAGCGTCAATAATTTAATAGGGAGCATGCTGCTCAAAAAGTTTGAGCTATTCCGGCTGCTTGAGTCGTTTGTGCACCCGCACAATGTAGCTCTCAAGTGCTGCCACTGCCTGATTTGAGAGGCTTTCGCCGTCGCCTTCTCTGTCTCCGTAACCGTCGCCGGCCGATCAAAAGCGTCATAAATTCATTATAAGTGAGAGCGATTGTCGAGGGGCGAGAGACGAGGGGCCTGCAGTTAGCAGGGGCCAGCGGCTTGCTCAATTGCATATTTCTGCGCATTATTTTACCTTGGCAGCATTATTAATTGCGAGTGCGGGCACACAGTTTATGCGCGGCGGCAAACATATTTGGCGCCACAACAGCGCCAGCCGATGCAGATTCCACAACATGGTATAGAAATGGCGCATCTCAAGCAGCAGATCAAGCAATAATTTAGTTATATAGCCCAGCCCCATAGCTATGACTTACTTCCAGGTCCACATTCACGTACACTTACATGACCAGTCCAAGCGGCGGGCCATGTGGCGCGCACACGTGCAGGGCATGGGCATGCTTCATGCTACGCCTACAACTACAACTACAACTACAAGCTGCTATGCGAGTGTAATCTGCATATACGATAATATGTGGGAGCTGTTAGGTAGATGCCAGCAGCCAGCAGACATACATACATATATCTTTGAGTAGATGCGTCACAGTGCATATTTTAAGTGCGCTGATATAACCAGAAGACCTCCAGACAAGTAGCCACTTTGAGGTACTACGCTTGTATGTAGCTGCCGCCAGCTTCCAGGAATGCCTGCTATGCGGGGGTGTGACCACGTTTTGTACAGAGCTCCATTAGAACGCCCAGCCGCTCAGCACTCGGCGCCCGACGCTCGTCGCTCGACTTTGTCATTGATATTCATTGAGCGTTTTCTTGTGCTTCGCGCCAATTGCGACAATTTTTCTGTCTGCGTCATCATTTGTTATGGTTTGATTATATTTTCTTTGGTGCTTTCAATAAATGTTAAATGTGTGCAGTTGGTTGTACATGATTTATGTGCTGTTTGTGAGATAAATATTGGGGATGGGGATGGCTGTGAATCGAAATATATGTGATTAGCTCGGTGATGCTTCAGCGCCTATTAGAAAAATGAAAAATATGTTAACGATCTTGGAAATTATTATAAATAGATATTAATAAATAAAAGACGTTCCTAAGTTTAAAATATATTTTAAAAATGAATATAAAAATAGTTTAATAAACTACGCATTATTTTCGATTGTTTTATTAATAGCTATATTGACTAACAATTGTTCGCTAAAAAAATATTTCACAATAAAAATCAAACAAATTCGTGGAAAGTTGCATTTTGAGCCAAATAACTTGGCGCACATTCAACAACATTTCCACCCACACGTTTAATAGCGTATATACTATATAATATACGCAATTCGATAAGCAAAATAAAAATCGGAAGTCGAGCAAAAATAACGACCCGCAACCCGATTTTGGCGCTCTTCCAACAAATTAATACGGATACATTCATTTTCCTCAGAAAATTAAAGAAAAACCAACAGCAAACAAAGTATTATCAATATACTTTAATTTATATGTATATTTCCAATCAGTCTCAACTTTGGACTTCGTTGCTTTTTATCACTGCAGTTCCAATTCACCAAGTTCCCCTGCGTACTGAAGGCTGGACATTGCCATGGCGGAGTGGCCACGGCCCGTCTGGAGAATCAGAGCGCGTTGCAAGATGCCGCCGGACTTGTTAGCGGCGCTGGAAACGATTCGCATTGTTATTGCACCATCGAGCCCTACATCGATGCCAAGTTCAGCGTGCACATTCAAAAGATTGGCAACAACTACAAGGCTTTTATGTAAGTGACTACATGTGCAGACCACAAGCCGCAGACAGACCCCGGCACCGCATCGCTAAAAGCTGAAAGACTTGATATCAATGTAGATGGCGACGTCGATGTCGATGTCGATCTTGATGGGTATAAGGTCGAGTGCATGTGCCGCTGCCTGGCAATTGACCTTGGGCTTAGCTGCAACTGTCAGCAAGCAAAAGGAACCTAAATGCAGCCCAATTGGCAATTATCTACAAAGTGCAGTTCATTGTTTGGGTTCACGAAATTCGACGGCGAGTTCAAAGTACCCCCAATGAAAATCGTCTGCTTCTGCACATTATCTACGCTTTTTCGACTAATTTATTATGTTTTCATGCTTGCTGCTCTCTGTTACAGGCGCAAATCCATCACTGGAAATTGGAAGACCAATCAAGGCTCAGCCATGCTCGAGCAAATCACTTTAACCGAGAAGTACAAAACCTGGGTGGATGAGGTAAGTCTCACAATTCGAAACTCAAAACAGAGCCAGCCGACTTGAAACAGTTAGTCAAATATGAAATCCAAACCAATTCGAGCGCTTCGAACTTTAAATACGCTAACAGCAAAGCAGAAGCATTTTAAATAATAGTAAAAGAGTACGATTTTTGGAATGAGATCAATGAAGAAACCTTGTTTAATGTCATTACCATACAACAAATTTTTCACAAAAAAAAAAAAACGTTTGAACTGTAGGAAAAATGATTGCTAAAAATTGAAGAAAAGGGGAAAGCAGGAGCAAATCAGCTTGGACACCACGCTACCATAAGTTGGTCCATAAAATAATGATAATATACTTAATGGCTGGCTTGACCACCATTTTATTGTATAGCCAATATATATATTCAGTCTTCTATGCATTGCCGGCCTGATCAGAAAGCTGAGATGCCCATTTATAGAGCAAGCACTGAACGTTTAAGTCGCATTTATGAGCATGTATCTGAAAGGCAGCCCAGAGCGAGGCGCACATTAATCAAACGTTGCCAATCAAAATAGCTGCAAAATCGACTTGAATTATTTGCGGCACATTTTGGGCTCACAATTTGGTTTCGGTGGGTTTTAACCCTGGGCGGTGTTGAGCCCCACAAGCCGATCGAGAGCCGGCGTTGCTTCGAATTATTCGAACATTCATGAATATGCTAAGCGCATTAATGTAAACAGAGTGCACTTACATACTACGGGAATTAGTTATGATGCAACGGGTACAACGAGTACCGCAATAATTACTGTGAAACATGAGAATGCCATCAATTGCGGCATTTTATCATGGCCATAAATGGCATAGAACTCAGCTCGAAAATAGCTGGGCCCAAAGCTGACTCAGAATATCCGCATATGCGTATAATTGAGCCGCAATTCTTGCAATTTGCACATTGCTTAGATAAGCTGCCAAGCAGCGCGGCAGTTCAGTTATGAGCTTTTAGGTGGGTGGCCGTATACCCCATCAGAGATCTGATGCCCACAGTTCTAAGCTAATCAAAACAAACCCCTAATCAAAACAAACTGTGTTTGTAATTAAAACCAAAAGCTGGCGAGAGCAATTGCAACAACAGCCAGTAAAAATGTTGCAGTTGCAATCTCACGACTGCGCCATACTCTGTGCTCAGCGTAATTACAGCATCTAAATTATGGGTGCGAACGTGGGAGTGGTAGCAATCTATTATATGTATTTCGAAAGGAACAATCGTTTGGAAATAAAGCCCTTCTATAAAAGATTTCTTAATCTTGTATAGACATATATAAGAGTAATTTATATACGGTGTGCCAAAGATAGTCGTTCTTTCTTGTTGATCAAATTTAAATATTATGGGGAAATAAGAAATTTGATCTTCAGGTTTTCGTATGAAAAACATATAAATGCTTGCATTTCGCGTAGCGGAAGGGGACAAGTGGAACTTCGCATAAAACCAATATACTCCTTACCTTGCGAAACAGAGTAACATACAACAAACGCTAAATACATAAGTAGCAACTGCAACAGCAGCCCACACAGAACCAGAACTGTAAACTGTGCATGAAATCGAAAACAGATTATGATTTTGATGCAATTGAGCTATGTACAGACATTTGTAAATATACATACATACTAAATATATATCGCCTTATTCACAGATATCGGAGCTATTTGGCGGCATGGAGGTGTGCGGCGTCTCAGTAGTGGTAGGAAAAGATGGACGCGAGTACATTATTAGTGCCTGTGATAGCACCTTCGCTCTGATTGGCGACAGCCAGGAGGAAGATCGCAGGCAGATAGCCGATCTGGTGTCAGGACGCATGCAGGTGAGTTCAGATACCAGAAGAACATTTGAGCACTTACTTACAGCTTGTACACACCATACAGAATGTCTGCCGTCCCAGTATGGCACAGACTGCACCTGCTAAGTTGCCATCACGATCATCGGTCTCTTCTCGCGGCGAGAGTCCTACTGATGACCTAGCACCGACACCGCCGCTGCCCGCCGGGCCCAGGCCAGCCCCGATGGGCGGACCACCGCCAATTCCGGAACGCACCTCTCCAGCGGTGGGCTCCATTGGGCGGCTGAGCAGCCGCAGCAGCATTTCAGAGCTGCCAGAGGAGCCCTCTTCGTCAGTGCCCAGCACAGTGGGTGGCGTGCGCCGCGATTCGCAAACATCACAGGCATCGAGCATCTCGTCAGTGTCCAGGGTCGGACAGCGTCCTCCGCAAACTCAGACCTCTGTCGTTGAGGATGCGGAGGACACCATGAAGAACCTGAGGAAGACTTTTGCGGGGATCTTTGGTGACATGTAGGAAATCGCTAATAAGAAACGCGGCAGAACGGCGAGCGAGACAAGTAACAGCAGCGGCCTGGGCAGCGTGCCCAGCAGCGCTGGACCCACCAGCAGCGGAGGCAGTGCCTTCAGCGGCTCTTTTCTGGGAAAGCAGTTCTCGTTCGCCTCGGGCGGCAAATCTAGCGGCACGGATGTGATCTCTACACAGCCCAGCCGACCGCTGGAGGAGCCAGCAGCAGCAACAACAGCGGTCAGCTCAGCCGCTAAGCTCGCTGCCAGCGTTTCGGATAGCGTCAATACAACTACGGATAACCCAACAACAACTGGCGGCTACCAGCCAGTTACCAACTTTGAGCCACAGGAACGCGTTAATCCATTCGACAAGGAGCCACACAAGTCAGTTAGCATCGCTAGCATCGGCGCTGCCTCGAACACAACCTCATCTTCGTCATCGATATCCTCGTCTTCGATTTCGTCACGCATCAATCGGAATGGCAACCCCATCAAGTCACCGCCACCACCAGCTGGGCCGCCACCACCTCCGCCCAATGTGAGCTCCAATGCCAACATCAACACAAACACAAACAGCTCCAGCGTCAGCGCCAGCGCCTATCGCAGCAGCTTCAGCAGCTCACTCAGCAAGGACAAGACCAGCTACGGCAACTACGACAGCATCAGTTCCATTGAGACGATAACGCGCATGGACACTAACACCACAAACACAGCTGCCACGGCCACAGGCGCCGGAGAGGCCAGCGGTATTACAGCGATTAGCACCGGTGCCGTCGGCGCCGCTGCCATTACCAGTTCGGCCTCCAACAATGATTGGCGCACGGCTATTGGCATAAGATCGGCCAGTGTTTACAGTGCGCCGGCTGCTGTAACCACAGCGGCTTTGCCTGGTGACACCTCCGGCTACGATTCTAATTCGTTGGCATCGCAGGCCGGCTACAACAATCCCAGCGATCTGCCCTCGTACACGCGGCCCTCTTACTCCCGCTCCGAGAGCAATGGTAATTATCTAGCGGTGGGCGTGCTGCTGGTCAGCCTAACGCTGCGCAAGACCTAGACTAGGCTGCCAAATATATATTGAACTACGCTCATATCCATTGTCATTAAATCTCACATCAGTATCAGTAACAGTAACAATAACAGCATCAGCATCAATATCAGCATCAGCAGCAATATCAACGCAACTAACGAATACTCTCACAATAACCTATAACACATACATACCATACTTATATACTTACATACTCACATACTTTTACATATATACCGAGATTACATATATAATGCGAGTTTAGCAGCGACCAAGTTAAGATGTAATCGATAACAACCCTTTTAGCCAAGTAGAGAGCGAATCGAGCGTTAGCCAAAGAAAATTAGGTGCCACTGTGTATTCTTCATTGATTTTCTTCATTGATAGCCAACTTTGAAAGTGTAAGCCAAACGTAACGTATACGACGTGTGCGCCGCAAACTGTTTGTAAGTTCGCCACTCGCCAGTGCTGCTATTCGCTTGCCTGCACGCACGAATCTTCACGAACACAGCTAACTCGAAACACATGCCACAACCAACAGGAACTCTGCCGTACAGTAACTACTCGATTGCCCGCACCGCAAACTCAGTTATTTTCTGGCTTTCTCGGCACGCACAAAGACACGCCCACACAAGACACTACTAAAAAAAAAAACAGCAAGTACTATCTACAGGCGCTTCAAGTAGTCCAAAATTCAATAGATGTATTTGCAACTGTTTCTGTTTTTATCTATAATTTATATTATCCTTTCTCTATACGTATGTATGTATGTAAGTGTGAGTGTGTACTAAAGAGTAAAAAAAGCAAATGCAGAGTTATCAAAAGTTCAAAAAAGTTCAATTACATAGACTGGCCCCAAACAGAGATGTATACATATGTACATACCTTCATGTATGTATGTATGCATGTAGGTTTTATTAACTGTACCCCAAATTGATTCATTACATGATTCATAATTCATTTGAGTTACGCATGCACACTCATTACGAACTACTTTTGAGTAGAGACTCTTGGATGACTTATACTTTATTCCCTAAGATACCTCTTATTCACTGTCATATTTGCATCACTTGTGGACGCATTTTTGGTAACGCTCATTCTGTCATCTTTCATACATATCACATATCAGTGTGTAAGCAATTGGCATAAGTAGTGCTAGTGTTAAGCGCGCTAGAATTGGCTCTCAACTGCACCCACGCAAAATTGATGTGCATCTCGAAGTTGATGGTGAATGCCGTTATTAACTTCTATCTGTATTTACAGCATCGAAGCAATCCGACTTGGACATCATATTCGGCAACGGCAAGACAACGACCTCTAGCCCAGGCAATGGCAAATACACGCGCTCCGGCGGTTCCATCTCTGACGCGGACATGATCTTTGGTGGTCCACCCTCCAACTATAAAAGCGATCGTTTTGGCGCTGCCAAGAGCATGAGCATGAGCTCGAGCGGCGTTGGAGCCAGCTCCACCTATAAGATCTATGAGGGCATACAGAATGCAGCCTTCAGCGACTATAGCGATTCGGGCAGCATAAGCAGCATAAGCTCAACAAGCAAACGATGGAACCCCAAGCCTGAGGAGGAGGATGAATTAGATTTAAAATAAATCCACACACGCGCGCACACATACATACACACATACACACTCACACACACATATACACACAGATAAAGCAGCGTTCAGAGTAGAAATCATACTACACTTAAACTATAGGAAAACTGTCTTTTTTCTGCCTCCGAAGTTTCCTGGTTTCATGAGGGAATGAACATAAGCATAGAAATACATAAAAATATACTCAACTGCATCAGCATTAGCATCAGCATCACCTATACACATTGAGTTACTATAGTTTTCACTATCGATACAAGTTATTTGAATATGCTACAATTTATATGTACCATTTCCTGTTATTCTCTATATATATTTATTAATATATATGCATATATATATATATATATATATATATCTATTAAATATGTATGCAGTTACTTCTCAGTTGCAATATGAAAAAGGAAAGAAAAAGAAGAAGAAAAAGGTAAACAAAATAAACTATGAAAATACACTATGTATAATTATAACCACCAAAATAACAATAATAATGCAAGTAAAGCCCATAAGAATGTGAAACTTCGATGATGACTTGACTGGTTTTGCAGCATGAGCTGGAGGATATACACTCGAGAAACGTTTTGAAAGCTTTTCATTTGAAAGTAAGAAAAATATTGGGAAGAACTTTATTGAGAAGAACGTTTGAATAAATTGAACATCCAATTTAATAATTATTGAGACATATTAAATATTGCTAAATATGCATATTTGCAAGCGTATATTACATGTTAACTTGCTATTGAATTCATTCGAATAATACAAAATTACCAAATTTAATTGTTAAACGAAGAGAAGAAAATGAGAAATTATGAATCTTAACATAAACTACTAAAGAGCACAATCCACATTTCGTTGGATTCGTGTGCTTAGATAAAAGACAATATAAAAAGAAAAATAATCTTCAACTAATATACTAAATGTTTATAATGCAAACGATGGTTATTAATATACATATATACATACGTATATATGTACTTATTTCAAAATAATTATATATGAGCAAATGTTACATACCAAAGCATACACAAAGGCTATTACACACAAATTAAAAGTATATTATATGCCCACAAATATTATTATACAGTACTTATATTAGTAGTTAATGTTTATACCCACATAGAAACATACTCGTCTAACCGATAAAGGCAAACTATTCAACTAACTACCGAAGGGCCTCATACCAACTGCGAACTAAGCAATGTTACATTAAGATTAATGAACAAAATACGATAGCAGAACATGAGGACTTTTAAAAGGATGCTTCGAGGCAATAGAACACATTTATATGGCTACTTACACATATGTATATGTGACACCGAATTGTTTATGGATTAAACGCACAGAGGCAGGCAAATTTTCTATTATATTGACAACTCGTGAATGTTGAAGGCAACAACGAAAATATTATAAAATGCATATGTATATGCGAAGAAGCTTATTGCAGTATTAACTGAAGAGTATGCTTTAGCAGTAATTGTTTTATTCATTTTGTTACGCACACGTTTAAGCATTATTTTTAACAATAGATAAATATTTAGATTGATTTTGTTGTTACATATCGCGAAAATAGTTAAACCAACTTTTAGCTTCGGTTTTATGTCCAAAACTTTTAGAAATATGTATTTTAGTGTTGGTTTTGGCGACCTTTCCCGTTTTAAATTATTTTGTTGGCAACCAATAAAATAATTAAAACATGTATTTTAAATAAAAAAAAATAGCAGTTAAATTATTTAGTGAACAGATATACAATTGAAGCGATAGACATATTTTAGCCAAGCCCTTTTTAAACTAAGCTTTACAATTCAAACCGATTTCCACTCATTAAAACTGTCAAATTTTAGTAGTGTTTTACAAAAGCGAACAGTTCTTGGAATACATATTACGAATTTAATAATAACGTTTACAAAGGGTTCTTGTTAATTTTAAAAACATTTACGAATAACTCTGAGCTTTATTTGTTCTCATAGTTATGCACCAAAGCTAACATAAATTTAATCATTTTTACATATATGTATACACAATTGGCTACATGTACTTCGCAACATTCGTAGCCCCCAACATCATCATTTGAATCAACTTAAATACCTAATATAACATCAACTGGCACATATTAAATCATACTCAATTGTTTTTAGAAACATGTATTTACACAATGACAAATGTAGACCAGAAGGTAAACATACACAGACACAGAGTCATACCTATACGCATAAAGGCTTTACCCATTCACGTATCGTGCTAACATACATATGTATATCACACAAGATAATATCATGAAGCGCATAATGAATGAAACCAATGCTGAAATATTACAAGATTACACAAGAAACACAAAAGTAAACGAAAACACAAACAAAAATATTAAATAAATAATAAAAAAAGAACATATATTATAAAATATATGCATAATTCTTATACATACTACATATTGTTGCAAAATAATATACAAACAAATACTCGTATTATTGTGAAAGTATAGTAAAGAAGTATCTACATATATACACGCGTACTTATATACCTATTATATACTTGTATGTTGTCTGTAATTGCATATGAAAATCGAAATTTTGAAAATGAAAATTTATATGAATTGAATTATACTTGCTCATTAAGCATCTACAAATACATTAATAACATTTAAATAACAATCAAATTTATTGGGAATCTATATGTACAAGCATTATTCATAAATATTCATTATTCATTCCATATATACTTTCCAACTGTTCCAACGGCAATACAGCAACTACAGAAACCCAAGTAACAATAAACGAGTTGATGATTGATTCAAAAAAAAAAATAAATAAATAACTAAATGTGTGCTACTTTACTTAAGCTGGGACTATTCCACGCTCAATTTCGCGTGCGTTTACCTGGAAATATTTGACATTGGCGAGAGAATAGCATAGGTAAGCCGGTTGCAGGTGCGAATCCTTGAAGTGGAAAACTGTCTGGCCAATTTTAGGCTAATGACACCAGGAAAACAGCCGATCTTTCGCTGCATCAATGTCTCTTGCCGGTAATCTCTCCGTGCTCTCTTTTATGGTGCAGCGAGGCACAACATAAACATGCAACGTCTCCATGGGCCTGAGTTTGGGTTTCTGGCCTTGCCTGTGCAGCTACCTGTATGGGCGGAACAATTTTGGTCGGCAGATGTGCGACAGATAAAAACCAGGCACTCGCAATGCCTCGGACCAGTCACAACGCGCCAGCTGACGAAAAAACACCACAAAACAACAACAATGCGCACGCGATCTTCCACAATGACAGCAACAACAATAAATAAAACGCAAGCCAACTGGAGTTATGCAACAACACTTTGGCTTCCCCTGACATTGCTGGCAGTCCTGGGCTGCTGTCAGGCAGCCAGCGTAAGCCTCCATCTGCAGCCGCTGGAGAGCTCAGCGAATATACTGAATGACAGCCAGATTGTAGTGCGACCGCTATCGTGGCTAAGGAGCGCTCAGGATATGTTCGCCAGCCCGGCAGGTCATGTTGTTGTACAGGTGGCCAAAGAGCTGCTGCATCGCTCAGCGGGAAATAGTCAAGTGCGTGCATATTTGCATATTACAACCGAGACATAATTACTGCATGTGTCAGCTATTTACAGGTGCTCAGCTTGAATCTGACCAATTTGCTGATTATTGTGCTGCTTAAGGTGCTGATCTTTTCGGCTGGACTACTGGGGGCGGGCCACTGGAGCGGCTATGGCCATGGCTATGCGCGTTCCGCATCCCGCATCGACGGAACCTATGGCCTGGGTATCACCTCAGGCGATGACTATCTTATAATGGGTTTCTTAGCTGCCCAGGGAGCCGGCCACGATGACTGCCTGTATGCCGCAGCCTGTGCATGTCCAAACGCGGCCTACGAGTACGCCAAGGCGGCCCGTGCGCTGCTGGGCGCCATTCAAATATTCCAGGGGTGAGCTAAGCAAACATATTGAAATATATTTTCCATATCCAGCATTTATGTATGACTAATAATTCAAAGCGTACCCTTGGAGAAGCCGCGCTATAATGATCTCATCGTGCTGATGGAGCGCGCCGCCTACGATGGCTATCGCGGAGCCAGCTGCAACACCACCCAATCCTGCGATGGCCTCTTATAGCCAGGGCATTGATGCCTGTTCGTTTGCTGTTTATCATACTCCTGTTTATATATTGTAGTACAAATGAAAAATGTATTTATATAGTGCTATTGTAGTATTGCTTTAGGCCGCGGCTAGAGTGTAAATGTTCAAATGTGTTCATGTGTGTGTATGTGTATTCTGTACAGTCTCATTGGCTCAACGTGGAAATACATATGCTAAATGCTAAAATTTAACTAAGCTATATCTATTATTGTGTCCAGATGAGGTTTTTTGCGTTCAGTTCAGCGCAGCATATTTCTCTCCAGTGCCAACTGCTCTTTGCCGCCGGTAACGGCCTTAACAAACTCCGGATAGTGCAGAAACCCATCGTTGTTATCATCCGCAATCAGTAGAAACTTGTCGATGGCCTCTATTAAATCGTTGAATATTCCTCAACTCATATATAAGTATATTTCATAAGACTGCTTACCTATAAAATGATCTAGGTCTTCGCTTGCATTTGGCAGGTAATCGTCGCGTTCGCTGTTCTTGAAGTAATCATAATTATGATGCATGGCCGATTGTATCATCTCAAGACCATCCAGGGCATTGTTGTTGTCATTGTCGTGAGCCTATTTACGTGTGTATGTGTGTGAATGTGTATCAGATATACGGCAATGGAGAGCTACGCACCTTAAACATGTAGAATATCTTTTCCTCCTCACTCATATCATCCAAGCTCGCCTGTATACCCATGTCCCTTAGATCATCATCGATGCGGCTGTGCATTGAGCGTTAAAAAATCCAAATATTTATCAAATAAGTACGCACAACCCCTCTTGAACTCACTGCTCCTCGTGTGTCAGATGCTGGTCCACTCGTCGGGTCTCGCCGCGCGGATGATGCGGTCCCCGCTTGACCGCCAAGGTGCCATCGAATGATTGGCTGAAGCTCGCCATGCATATGATAAAGTTAAGCACATTGGACAAATTGTACATTTTGTGCATGAGGCAGACCAAACAAGTTGCTTGGTAATTTGTGTATATGTTTTTTACAGGGTTAACTCAGCATCATCTGTCAAACTGACAGCGCATAGAGCGCAGGCGTCATTGGCAGGTGGCTTTCGAATGGCGCTTATTTACGTCAGTTTCAAATACCCTTTCACTGTCGAATCTCGTAACCAAGCAACCTTTGCCCATGTAAATTATTTGTTCGATATGCTCGAATTGTAGCGCAGTTAACAATTTAACGAAAACAACTCAGAACTAAAATTTTATATTTATTAAAAGTAGCGCTAATTTAAATCAAAATGTGCGACAATTTCTGTGATGATTTGGAGACCTTCAATCCCGAAGTAGAATTTCTAAAATTTATTAAACGTAAGCCGGTGGTGCAGACAGCCAAGCTTTATGAGAATCTGCACAAGCGCGAGGACATCAAATGTCCCTGTAAGTAGCCAACCATATTGATTGCAACTCTTGCATTCACTCTAATCTCTCCTCTCGGCTTGCAGACAATTTCAAGGGCTATGGCGTAGAAAAGGACACCAATACCATGTATCGCACATGCAACTCTGAATATGGCTACTATGCGCCCAATGCTTATACCATACCTGCACGTTTCTTTCCACTCTCCCAGAGATTCTCCAATGATGTCGTGCGCTTTGGCATGTATCGAAATTTCTCGCTGAATACGCATATGGATCGCACATTCTACTAAGACTAAGAATGTTCTACTATTTTGTTTGTGTTGAGTTACATGTCAGCAAGCATATATATGGTTGACATCTTTTAAATTTTGTACCACTTCCTGGTTTTGTTATAAAGCATGAAATGTCTGTCACAAAATTATCTCTGGCTATATTCAGAACATTTAGATGTTATACACGTACTTAATTGAACAGCATAAAGCAGTTAAATAAAAAATTTATGAAACTTTAAAAATAAGTTTTGTATATTTTAATTGAGTTGGAGCGCGTAAAATAATACAAATATATAGGCATACATTTAAAGAAATGTTCATATAATTTAATTGAGGAAACACCCTTTTCCCTTATATTGATTTCGGATTGATCGATTTTTTACGCTTCAGGCTAGTCTCACTTAAGAGTCTAGAGTTAAGGTATTTCAGAGATTTTTGTCTGACGGATTAAACATAAAAGCCCTATGTACACAACTTTTCGAATTGATCAGATATATGTACTGATATGCAAACTAATGACATTTCACAAATGGGGCAAAATTAATTTACATTTAAATAATATAAGCAGCTCACACTTGGCTTTGATTACTATGTTAATTCATTTTCTATTTTTATATATTTTGCATAAAAAAAACCAAAATATAAGAAAACAAAGCCAAAAACAGCCTGTAAACAAGAAACGACATTTCCAACGGTATAAACCAAGTCAACAATCAACTACCAACCGCTGTGTCCTATCAGTGGGCCACCGAAATGAGGTGAGCTTTAAAATTAGCATGTAGCTAAGATAAGCCTTAACACAATTCAGAGAACCACAGCGAGACCAAAACTCTACTCAGTGCATTGCTATGCGACATTTATGGCAAGCAGGAGCAGCAAGCCAGACGTCTGCGTCGCTGGCGTCGTCACAAGGGTCAGGATAGACGCATTTCCAAGGAGCAACGTCACTGCAGAAGATCGACCAAGAAGGGACCTGTGGCTAGAATGGCTAGCAGCCTGGCTGGAAATCAGAATGTCTTGGAGACACTGAACGTGCGCCAGCTGGTGGATGTCAGTGCCATGCTTAAGGTGGAGTTATTGATGATGGGTTATCTGTTGGAACGCGTGCTGGTTGTGAGGGATCGTCTACAACGCCACCAGGAGGTGCTGTGCGAATTTGTCACTGCCATACTCGTTGTGGAGACTCGTAAGTAGCATTCCTGCTTTCGTACAGTGTAAACAGCTGTCGAGCTACGACTGTGTACGGACGCAGTGCGCATGACCGACAGCTGGCCTTCTGGCCTCCGGGTAAGCAGTGTAGCTCCAAAGCAAACCCAAATCAGTCAAGTGCGGAACTCTCAGCTGTGTGCGTCGTTAGTGCGGAGAACAGAAAGCAAAGCTGAAGGAAATTAACTACACGCAGCGCGCATGTATGTGTTATAATGGATATATATATATGTGTATATATATATATATTTATATTTATATGTGTGTGTGTGTGTGCGTGTGTGTGTATGTGTATGTGTTGGTTAAGTTCATTGAATGAATGTAGCTTTCGTGTCTGTGCTTGTGTGTGTGGTAGGCAGGTGAGCCTACGCATGTATATATGTATATACATGTGTGGGTGAGTGTATTGGCGTGTATGTTCACGTTGGGGGTTGATGACGACACAATGCCAAGCGAGTGAACATGAAAACAACTTACTGGCGGGCTCTTAGAGACTGTCTGACGTGCAGCACACACAAACGCACACACAAACACACATTTACACACACTTCCAATGCGTTTCTATATGTATAAATGCATGTGAGAGGGCTGGCACGTGTAGATGTCACTGCTGCTGTTGAGCTTAGCCTCCGCAAGTATTTTGCCTCTTTTATCTATGTTTTTATATCAGTGCGCTGCCACAGTCGCCTGCCAGTTGTTGGCGTCGTCATTGTGTGGGCTCGCTTGTGTGGCTGCTAAGCATTACCCTTGATATTCGTCCACCACATAAAACTGTGTTAGATCGACCGACGTCGACGGCAGCAGCCACAGCGGCAGCATTCGATAAAAGCACGCACACGTGCGAAGGCAGTTATGCTTTTTATTTTTTTTTGTAATATATAGTATTCCTTTTATTACGTGAAAAGGCATAAAACACAATCTCCATTGTCTATAGTTATGTGCGCGTTTGAGTTATTGTGTTGACGCTTAGTTGAATAACTCAATATTATCGATCGACCGGAAGAATGCAATAATTGCAATTGCGGGGTGCATTTTAGTGCAGCGCCTAAAAGTATGTCAAGAAAAAGTTTCTTTTATCGAGCCGACCTCCGTTATGCGGTCGAGGGCGCGCGCCTATTTCCGTCAGCGCTATTGAAATTATATTGCTGACTATTGATATTGTTTGAGTCCTCCTCTGTCACACCCACACCCACGGAGACGAGGACACTTATGCAAATGAACTGCCCACAAATAGATATGACTGAGTATGTTGGTGTGTATGGCCTGTCGCATTCAAAGCGTATCCGAATTCTTGGGATTCACAACATACACACACACACACCCTTTTAAAAATTTATGACTGTAGACAATAGCAGTCACTAGTTTAGTTACTTGTTAGTAATGTGGAAAATATTTATTGAGCCATTGCATAACAGTGAATGGTTTTAACAAACAAGAAGTCATAATCATTAAACGAATAAAGCATATATTTCGCATGTGAAGCTATTATAATTATTTATAATTTCAAATCAAATTGCGAATTTAAATCTCCTAAAATCACCTAAAATCTCCCGATGAACCTTTAAGAACTGACTGTACCAAAGTCAATGTCAAAGGCTTTCTGGCTCTGCGCTTCGTTGAATTTTTCTAGGAGGATTCGGTCACATTCAGTTTCCAAGGCTCAACTCTCATCTTTTTTGGCAGTAAAAAATTGTGAGCGTAAGCTGAAATGTGATGTAAAGTTAGTTCCCTGCGAGCATTTCTTGTTGCTATTGCTGACGTTTCTGCTTCGCCAAAACAAAAAGTGGGTCAAGACGCCAGTTAGCAGAAAAGAATCGATGAACGACAGTGCAAAAGTCACACAATGGCACCGCAACTACGACTGCGAATGCGATGTCGTCCTCTTACCTAATCCAAATCCATGGGCCAACTATAAAACTGGCACAGCTTTAGCTGTTGTCAAGGTTTTGATTACCTCTTTGTGAGTGCTACCAGTTTTATCTAAATTTTATTTTTTTGTAAACCAAATATTTGAAGAAATTTATCAAAAACGCATTAAACATTTTCTAATACCTTTAACAATGCTGCTTTTGTAGAGCGAGCTAGGGTGTGTATGGGTGTGTGTGTGTGTGTGTGTGTGCGTGTATGTGCGT